TTTTTGAAAATTAAAGAAATATTACCCCCGCCTCTCTTTTTATCAAATTAAAGGAATATTTCACCGAGGGGGAGGGGCAATGTTTCTAGGGTAAATCAAAGGAATATTAACCCCCCACCTTTTCGGTAAGTCAAAGGGGTATTATCCCCCCCTTGCTCTTTTTGGCAAATTAAAGGAATATTACCCCCCCCCTTTATGGTAAATTAAACGAATATTAAACCCCTCCCTTTTTGGTAAATTAAACGAATATTACACCAAAAAGGAAGGTGGTAATATTCCTAGGGGTAAATTAAAGGAATATTACCCCCCGCCATTTCGGCAAATTAAAGGAATATTATCCCCTTTCTTTTTGTCAAATTAAAGGAATATTACCTCCCCCCCCTTTTGGCAAATTAAAGGAATATTAACTCCCCTTTTTGACAAATTTAAAGGAATATTACCTCCCCCCTTTTTGGCAAATTAAAGGAATATTACCTCCCCCCCTTTTTGTTAAGTTAAAGGAATATAACCCTCCCTCCTTTTTTTGGTAAATTAAAAAAAATATTAAAGGAAAAAAAATGAAGGTCAGACAATGCGACAAAAAACAAAATTAAATTAAATCGCGCCTAATTGTATTTTTTGTGTTAAAATTGAATTTTGAAAATAGAAAACGGTATTTAATTAAAAGAAATTATAATCACTTAAATCATGTTTCGTAAATTTTCACTATAAGAAGACTATTTGAAAATTAAGGATTTATAGGAAATATGAATTCCAAGAGTTGGCGCACGGTTTTTAGGAGTCTTTTTCTGTTTATTTTCCTAGTTAATTATGTTTGTTTTTATTATTTTTTTTTTTTTTTAAGCATTTCACCCCAAGCAAGGCTTGAAGCCACCAGTACACAAAGGGTTACATAGGATTTGGAGCGAGAACAGATAGGAGTGATAGAGGAAAGGATGAAGAGAAGGTTAGGGGATAGATCAAGGCAACTGGAGATGTCGATTGACATTACATTTGAATAGTTGGAGATTATAGCTATCAGGGAATCTGGAATAGGGAAGGGAGTTCCACAGGCGAGAGATGCGAGATATGAAGAATATAGGAGTAAAAGAGACGGCTACATTTAATAGTTTCGACAGTAAAGGGGTCAGAGTGGGATGTCGGCCTTGTAGGGCGCTTGAATTCATGAAGTCTGGGAATCAGCGAAAGCAGCTCATCGGAAGTTACCATGAAAGTATTTGTAAAAAAGAGAGAGGGAGGTGACGGCACGTCTGTGAGAGAGTGACTGCAGACAAGATGCCAGATCAAGGCCAATTACGTTGCATATCCGTCTCTGGATTTTATCAAGAACCCCGAGGCAAACAGAAGCGGCTCCAGACCATATATGGCAGCAATAGGAGCGAATGGTTGATTTGTAGATTTGAAGGATTCCGGTTCTGGGGAAACAAATTTCCTGGCGCAGCACAGGGAGCCAACTTTCCTGGCGCGGCACAGGGAGCCAACTTTCCTGGCGCGGCACAGGGAGCCAACTTTCCCTAGCGCGGCACAGGGGCCAACTTTCCTGGCGCGGCACAGGGAGCCAACTTTCCTGGCGCGGCACAGGGAGCCAACTTTCCTGGCGCGGCACAGGAGCCAACTTTCCTGGCGCGGCACAGGGGAGCCAACTTTCCTGGCGCGGCACAGGGAGCCAACAAGCCAACTCCTGGCGCGGCACAGGGAGCCAACTTTCCTGGCGCAGCACAGGGAGCCAACTTTCCTGGCGCGGCACAGGGAGCCAACTTTCCTGGCGCGGCACAGGGAGCCAACTTTCCTAGCGCGGCACAGGGAGCCAACTTTCCTGGCGCGGCACAGGGAGCCAACTTTCCTAGCGCGGCACAGGGGAGCCAACTTTCCTGGCGCGGCACAGGGAGCCAACTTTCCTGGCGCGGCACAGGGAGCCAACTTTCCTAGCGCGGCACAGGGAGCCAACTTTCCTGGCGCGGCACAGGGAGCCAACTTTCCTGGCGCGGCACAGGGAGCCAACTTTCCTTGCGGTGGACGAAGCTATTGACTCAATGTATTTGTTTCATCTTAGGTCGGCAGACAGTGTGAGACCGAGCAGCCGTAGAGAGGTGCTCTCGAGAAGTTGAGCGTCAGACATTCTAATGGAGGGGGGGGGGCAGGGAAGGATCTCTGTGTTGATTAATTCTATAATAATAAGGTAGTAAAATGTCTTCCAGAAGGCACCCAGAACTTTGGTAGCCATCTTGCCCAAGAGTCAACCAGGTCTCAAAAATCCGATATCACCTTTAATAAAATTAAATTTTTAAAGAAACATTGTTTTAAAGAAACATTGTTTTAAATAAACATTGTTTTAAAGAAACATTATTTTAAAGAAACATCGGTTTAAGGAGAAAATGATTTCCAAATAATAATGTTGTAGGTCGGGGTTGAGTTTTATTTATTTCATTTTTCATCATCATCATCATCATTTCTTCTTCTTCGTGTCGGTGATCATGGCCCTCCACATTTTCCTCTCCCTTGTAGTTTTGTCTTCTTGCTATTTTTCCCACACCATGTTCTGACATCCATTCAAGCCCATCAACTATGTAACGCGCTGCTTTCCTCTGTCACACTTTCCCCTTAATCTGCCCTGAGAGTATCAGATTTTCCCAGCCCTCTTTCCTCATTACATGCCCCAGAAATTTCAACTGCCTTTTCTTGGTGTTAAGTATAAGTTTCCTCGTCGTTGCTCACATATTCAATCCATGGTATCCTTAGCATCCTTCTGTAGAACCACATCTCTGTTACTTCGATCCTCTTCTTCATCTTTGAGGAGGTTATTCAACATTCGCTGCCATACAGGACAGATATCACGTAACAGTTCAGTTTAGTGAATGGTAAATATAGTATTTTTTTAAGAAAATAAGTTTTGTAACCGAGGGAAGGTTAATGAATCGAATAATCAAACGAAGGTTGGTAATGAACGATAATACTTAGGACAAGAACAACACATGTAAGATTCGCCAGCGGCGCGTAGAAGTCAACTACTAGAAGTGAGTCAAGTGAATTCCACAATGAATCTCCAACTGCAGGATATTTGCCAACCGCCCCACGCGGTCATGAATTTAACGTGGGGTATCCGAGCCCGTAGGCTCGGACAAAAATTCTCCGTAGACCCCGTAAAAAACGGGGTCGGGTAGCTGTCTACCATCCCAGACGAGACTCTGCCCTTCGGCATAGCCTCGTCTGGGTTTCTCTCTGCCCGAAGGCAGAGAAGTTCGACTAGCTTAGCTGAAGACTAATCTCCAACTGTAGACCAACATAGAGTATTTACTTTTGTATTTATGGGAATCAAGGCTTAACCATTATGGTCCGTAGGTATGCTACAACAAAGACATCTTTTTAAGTTTTTATTTTCACGTTAATGTTCGCATTAATGTACAAGTCCAAAGAGCCGCTCGAGGCAGAGGGTTACAGAATAAAAGGCACAGTTTATGCGGATACGTGGATAAGGTAACGTTTAACCCTAGACTTGAACAGGTTAAGATTGTAGTGATCGTGGAAGCATCCTCTTGGGAGTTGGTTCCACAGGGCAGTGGTTCGTAAGAAGAAGGTGCTCAAGTGGAACTTACATCTCACCAATGGAATTCGAAGGGAATGAGAGTTGTTCGCTACAATGGGGGTGGCCTAGCGGGCCTTACCCGTGAAGGCTATATCTGAGGAAACTAAGGGACGTATTTCGACTGTTCACTTTCCATGGAAATAGAGAGGAGGGAGAGGCTTGTAAAGTTTCGTCTGCGGGAAAGTGGTTGTATTGTGGAAAACAATCCATCAACCACGAGGCCAGGTCGACGCTTTTGGACTCTGTCAATACTGAAAGAAAGAAAGAAAGAAAGAAAGAAAGAAAGAAAGAAAGAAAGAAACCTGCCCATATATGGCAAAGGTACTCCATTTTCGTCCTGATCTGTCTCTTATAAAGCGAGGCTGGATATTTGGCTGATGGATATTTTGGCCGAGAGACATTTAGCCGACGGATATTTGGCCGAACGGATATTTACCCGACAGACATTTGGCTGAACAGACATTTAGCCGAGAGACATTTTTTGAAAAATATTTGAGTGTATTTGGGTAAAAAATAGTACCTAATTATTTAAATTCATATTTAACATTAAGACAAAAGCTAGTTTATCCCTTTAAGATAATGACCATCAAAAGCGAAATTGAAAGATCTTTCATATCGTAAAAAGGTTAAGATGTTTGTTGTAGTAAAATGTGCTTTTTCTCAAAATACTTATCTTACAGTACCATTTGAAGTAAAATATAATATATACAGAATAGATTTTAAAGAAAGCCTTAAAATAAAAAACAGAAAAATTATAAATTAATACAGTAAATAAATATAAATATATGTAGCACGTTACGATAAAGAGCGGGACATACATGTAAGTACGCATTTGGTTAAATGTCCGTTGGCCAAATGTCCGTTGGCCAAATGTCCATCGGCTAAATGTCCGAGTAGGCTTATAAAGATAAAGGATTGCAGGAAGAGTCAGGTTGTTACTGGAGTGGTACAGGGAGCCGACCATTGTTCCAGCATCTTCAGTGATGGGTGTATGTACGAATTCCGCTTGAGTTCTGGGGTGAGCTAAAGACTCCACAGACGTTCAAGGCAATGGGGCCTCCTCGAGTGAACACCAGTTCAATGCGATAGACAAAACTTTCAGAGTGGCGATTGTGCAACTTCACATTTTGTTTTGGGATGGGGGCATTGAATGAAAACCGATTTAGTTGGAAAAGAATCTTTGGAGGCATTGCTTTTCGTTTTGCCTTGTTTTTGTTTCGCTTTTGTTATTGTTTTTTGTAATTTGTAAAAAGGATTAGAAAGAAGTAAATCTATATTTTTAAAGTTTTTTTGAAATTTTATTTAAGTTTCCACCTGTCCTCCATCATTAGCAATACAAAGGGTAATACGATTTTGCAGTTCACGGAAAACATTTGCCAACTGATTTACAATAATGCCTGAAATCACATTAGTTATTTTAGCTATAATTAAAACTAGGTATATTGAACTTTATAACATTTTTTACAGATTATTTCTATCGCAAATACAAATAAAGTTATAAATTTTTTAAAGTGCACACGAACTTTATAGACACCCTATATATATATATATATATATATATATATATATATATATATACCATCACAAATTCACTAAAAATGAGCATACCATGATGAAAAAATGACCTAAACTTAAGAAAAATAATGTTTTCTCGTCAAAATCTATGTTATTATTAAAAAGAAAGACAATTTTTCTTTTTTATTATTAAATTGAATTTTTTTTAACCCTTTTTAAAAAGATCGAAATTTTGGTCAGAAATCTTGCATTAACTTGTGGGACGGTGCAAAAATGGGCATATGAAATTTTAGCGTCTTTTTTTTGTGGTGAAAAAACGCATTCATTTAGACATTCTTGCAAAAATCAAATAATTGTCTGCTTTTAATGGAATTTTTTTAGGATATATTTACAGATTCATGAAATTATTATAGAAATCTTTCGTTTTTAGAAAACCTTGGAAAAAAAATTGTTTTTTACATCTGTTACATCCTACATAGATACACACACAGACATACACACGCTTATTTAATTTTATGAAATTTCGACAAATTACTTTTTTGTACTGCTTAATGTTTTTATGGATTATATGCAAAACTCTTTGCAGAACATAAATCATTTTTTTTAATTTTTGTACGCGTAACACTATTTACGAAAATCTGTTCTGAATCATAAAATAAAAAAAATGCAATAAAACTATATTATTTAATTAGCAAAGCTTTTAATTGCTTTTATGACTAAAATAGACTATGGCCCCGAAATGCTTAAGAAAAACAAAATTTCGATGAATAACGAATTTTTACAAGAATTATTTTCATTTTTAAAAAATTTCTGTTAGATTAACTTATAAAATTTTAAATCTTTTAAATTTTGGTATTAATTTGTACCGGTTACGTGATAATGTACGTGTTTATACCCTTGGGAAACGTATGAATCCTCTTCTCTCCCCAGCTATGGGTAAATAGCAGGACAGACCGGGTTCTATAGCCTTGGATGGCAACTGGTCTACCGCAGAAAGAAATGGCAACCTACTGCGAAATCTGCTTCGTCAGTCATGTATCGAAAAATAGATAATCGTCTAAGCGTGTATTACGCATGGAAAAGTTTATTCCAATTCAGCGACACACAATATTCTAAAAAGAATTTGGAATTTGCCTTTGTGTGTGTGCACGCACGCTCGCGTCTGTGTGTTTAAAATTCCGATTTTTGTGGCAACCATACAATACATTTTCAGAAAATAAAAGCGATAAATATAAGGACTTACAATTCAATAGAGAATATTTTAATAAATTTTTTAAATTACTAGGTAGTTCAAAATTGTATAAAACAAAGGCGTTCACGTTATATTCCTCAAATAAATTTTACAGATATGTCTCCCGTAAAAAAAAAAAATTAGATAAACATCCATCTGTCAGCCAAGCTGTCAATACCTTAAATAAACACCTACCGCCGTATTAAAAATGCATTTATGCGATATTTTAAACTTAAAATAAGTATTATTTGTTTCAAATCAGATTAATTAAACTTTGAATTAGCTAATATTCCTCAAATAAAGTTTGGAAAAATATATTTTATTTTTTAAAGATTTTTACTAAAGAGAATTACATTTTGATGGCAAACTGCTAAGAATTGCGCTAAAATCAATGATGTCTGGTGATTTAAAAAAAAACTTCCTCCAGTCAATTTAAAATTAGTTTTGAAATACAGCAAAGTATTTTGCTTAATGGAAATATTAAATTCAATCTATTACCTTGAAATTAAAACTAAAATAAAAGTTTCAAGAAAGGTTTTTTTTTATTTTTTTAAATTAATTTTCAACCTCAGGTTCCGCGTTTCTATGGAGGTACATATATATATATATATATATATATATATATATATATATATATATATATATATATATATATATATATATATATATACCAAGTATATAATTGGTATATACGGAATGAATTCCAATAACCAACAATTACTATTCTTAAAAGAGTGCTCAATACAAAGTAGAGCAGATATAATTATTATTTATAAAAATAACATAAGTATGTTATAAAATCACTACAAAAATAGCCATTTTGTTTCAACACCCTCGGTGTCTTATCAAGTGATGATTTTGAAGATAAAATAAATGGTTTTAAAAGTTTCAGATTAATTAACGATCCTACACTAGGGGGAAACATTGTTACAAAAGCTAGAATAACCAGTCAAAAACCAAGTATAGAAAGATTCAAAAGCTTGACAACGAAATCCTGCTATAATAGCTATTCAGATCTTTAAAATACGGGTAATATTAAAAATAATTTATACTAACCAATAAAATTATATGATAAAATTTAATATTAAAATTAAAAACTGGCAATTTTAAAATCCAAATTTAATCACTATTAAGTTTAAAAACTACAAAATTATTGAGAAAAGAAAAATACACATGTTATTCAATTTATTTCTTCGTTGAAATTACGTTCGACAAGACGCTACAATATATCCGGTCATTTGACAATACATGTATATATATTTTTTATTCTAAAGTGTGTGAATGATTCGCTTGAGGATGAAATGGAACTAATATCTTTAATTTAATCACAAAATTAAATTCGTGGCTTTTAGCTTCCATTTTTGAAACATGGTTAGAATTGTGTAGCGAAAAAACATATTTTAAATCAATTAATATATATATATATATATATATATATATATATATATATATATATATATATGAATAATGAAATAATTAAAAATTCATTATGTGGTAATAATTTATTTCATGGGCTATTGTCCAATCATTCAGACCAAAATGTAATTTCTTTGGCATTGAAAACCCAGACAATTCGGTGAATAACGAATATATACATTTGTTATCAGGCACCCCAACCCCATCTAAACTTAACCTGACTTTGTAAGTAACATATATTGGATATATATGCTGTCTAGGGAAATTAAAACCCAACCACCCCTAAACTGTAATAGATTGAATTTTCCTTATGCTTAACAACTCATAATATTAATATAGTCTGCGTTTATAAATTAAATTTCGAAAAAGAATTACTAATATCGCTTGACAATGGAACAAAACTGTGGATTTTATGTTTAATTTTTATAATTAAATTTAGTTTAAGTTTTAAAACAGAAATTTCTGTGTCGCGATGGAATCATATTTTTTAAAAAGAAAATAATTATAATATTTCGCTATACTCTTTGCATCGAGCACTGTTTTTTTGTTGTTTTTTATTTAAAATAAAAACTGATACATGATTTTAAACTAATATATATATTAATGGAGAAGAGAAAAGAAAGCGTAATGATTTAACTGACAGAAGAGAAGAAAAAAGAGATTTTAAATATCTTTAAAGTTTCCATTGGAAATATTTTTTACCCACAATCCTCTTCATTTCCTGATCACACCTGCAAAACAAAAAACATATTACCTTTTTACAAGATTTTGAAATCGACTTGCATTTCTCCGGAATCAGAATATTTAGGTATTGTGCCATTCCATTAATTCCAGTGCAAGATTTTTCGCACACTGCTTTGATCTGTTCGAAATAAATTATAGAATTTCATATAAATATGTTATTAAATTAAACGCAAATAGTTTATTTCTCCATATTTATCTGTGAAGTTGTATTCATATGGCATTGTCTGTGACCTTGTTTTAATACACACTCACACACACACACACACACACACACACACACACACACACACGTACGTTTTGAACAATAAAAATATTTAAAAAATTAAAATTTTCAAACACACAGGATATATATTAATATTGTTTTGTTTTATTATTTCAATTAAGTTCCTCTAATAGTTTCGGCCAGCATGGTCATCATCAGGAGAAAAATATTCCTGCTTGTTAGTAGCAGTGAACTACAGGGGTGAATGACTTTCTGGAGAAAATGAACTTTATCTGTAGTTTTCATTTGTTGTTTTTTTTTGTTTGTTTGTTTGTTTTTTTTTTTTTTAGCGTTAATTTTGGTCAGTCCTTGTGTTGGTCAAACGGCTTCTTTCAAGTTGTTTTTAAGATAGAAGATTGCAGATTCCTGATTTTAACAATTTCTCCTCGGTCATTTTGAGTTTTATTCGTTACTGGCAATGTGATGTGTATGTTAAGTGTACGTTATCTTTTAGTTCTTTGGGATTGTGTTTATATATATATATATATATATATATATATATATATATATATATATATATATATATATATGTTGTGGCAAACCCTCCTACAGTAGAATGAACTCTTCCTCCTCTCATAAATACTAACTGTGAGACTTCCTAGATTAGCGTAAACGCAGTCTCTGACTGTGTACGACTTCTGTCGAACTCTCTGCTTTGGCAAAGAGGAACCCGGAGGAAGCTTTGCCGAAGGGCAAAGTTCCGTCCGGGGAGATAGACAGGCCCTGAACCCGTTTATACGGGTTCTAAGGGAATATTTTTGGCCGAGCCCACGGGCTCGGAGAACCCACGGTAAACTCGGCCTTGTGCCGCATACAACCCTCGGATGGGTGGGGGGTATCTGTTAAATATAGCGGAGACGCAGGATTAACCTACCGTTCGGACGTACACCTCTATCTGCTTATTACTAACACTCTTGTTTTGTATATATCTGTTATTTCAATGAACTTGTTCAACCTACTTTCGAATTTCGTGTCTTCCTTACTGGCATCTAAACACACCATAACAATATATATATATATATATATATATATATATATATATATATATATATATATATGAAGAAAAATTTGGAAAAACAAACAAAAATCCATAAATGCAATTATATTTCCCCTTTTTTAGCGAGATTAATGCTCGACAAGCATACACATAAAATTTTTAGATCCTAATAGAATTCTTTTCATTTTCTTTTTCATTCAAAATAATCAAAAATTTTTAGGAATACGTTTTGAAAGCGTCGCCCATGTGACGACAACGTGACCATGCTAAACGGAAAGCTGATCATTTTAAAATTTTCAGTTATCTGTTTTGGATAAGACTTGTTTTTTATGTCCATCGTCTTTGTCAAATTGAACTGAATTGTATTTTAATGAATATTGTCCTGAAGAAGGTTTATTAAACCGAAACGTCAGACGTCGACATTTCATTCATTTTAAACAACATAATTGCATTTATGGATTTTTGTTTGTTTTTTCCAAATTTTTCTTCATTCTGTCGGATCTATATCCATTTACATTTGCTTACACACACACACACACACACACACACACATATATATATATATATATATATATATATATATATATGAAGATTTATTTCCAAGGTTTTGTTTTCCGGATTATTTGTAGGTTATTTAAAGACGGATACATTTTTAGATTGTAAGAATTTGGGAGTGGGGGATGATAATGATTTACTGATACAAGTCCTACTAATTAATTAATCAGCTGTAAGGAGATGTGGTTTCATGTTTTTTTAAGAGAATTTTCACGTAATTTAACATAAAGAACCCGACTGGAATTGGAACACTAATCTTTTATTTACAATTCCAAGACGTTATCCTTTACGCCACACCACATCCATTTCTCCTCCCCCAACTATGGGGTGAAAAGCAGGACGACTGGGCCCTATAGCCCTGGTTGGGAACCAATCTGCAGCAGAACTAAACAGCATAGTACCACGGGAAATCTTCTGCCTATATATATATATATATATATATATATATATATATATATATTGTATATTTAGGCAGCAATTTTTCATTAATGCATGTTTCATTAAATAGTATAGACAAGTTTTGTCTATTTATTTTAAATAAGTTCCTTTTATATTGTCTGATAAGCTTATTCTTAAATTCCTATCATTGATAACGGAAGCCATTGGTTTATACCAACGGCTTCCCATACTTAATACTTCTCGTTTTCACTCGCGCGTTGTCATGTGTGACGTCACGAGCTGTGACGCGATTTTCGCTTCCGCGTCTCGTTTACACGAGTTTGTCGTTGCTTTGAAATTTTTCATACAACAAAAACGGACATTCAGGCCAATAAATGTTGTTTAATACTGTTTATTATGAACAGAGCATTTACTTAAATATTTGTATCTATAAAAAGAATGTATAAACATAAAAATGTCTTAAAATAATTGTCGGACTTTCTCCATTTCATAATATATATATATATATATATATATATATATATATATATATATATATATATATACATGATTAATAGATATATAATATTTGTCACTAAGCTAACTGATGTTATATTCAGCTCTTTCGAGCTTTGTAGTCGAACTGATTTGTAATCTTTCGGTCCACTCGTCAGGAGATATTAGCAATTGTCTCTGGATTTTCTATTTTTCGGTATTTTTACATAAATTTTAAAATATTTTATGAGCTTTTTATTGGTGTTAGGTTTATTTTTTCTTATCCTTCACGTGTGTATGCAGCTTTCTCTCAAACACACACTCTCCGTCTGTCTGTCAATCTCGCTCTTTCTGTACAGACACACACACACACACACACACACACACATATATATATATATATATATATATATATATATATATATATATATTATAATTTTTCATCTAGACAAAAACAGTTTACTCAGTACAAAGATGCAACTTCGTTTCGGTGCATTGGTTACCAATTTTAGTTCACATCAGTCGAGGTGCAATTGAAATGCACCGAAACGAAATTGCATCTTTGTAGTGGGTAAACTGTTTTTTATATACTGTAAAATTATAATAAATAATTATTGCTCTACTATCGGTATCAGCCCCTTTTTGAATTAATGCTGTGAACGTTAGAATTTATATATTACTTCTGTTCTCATTGCATCGGATATATATATATATATATATATATATATATATATATATATATATATATATAAAATATATATAGAAAATGCACTAGGCAGTGTTGATTTTGTCTAATAACTGTCTCTTCTACACGCTCTTCCCCAATAAATCTGTTTAATTTTAAACAATTATATATATATATATATATATATATATATATATATATATATATATATATATATATATAGTAATCATCGGAAATGAATTGTGAAATGACTGATTTTGAAAATTATCTTGTTAAAAAAAACACTAAATGAAATCAGACGTATTACAAAAGAAAGAAAGAAAGAAAGAAAGAAAGAAAAAAAAAAGAAAAGAAAAAAGAAAAAAGAAAAAGAAAGAAAGAAAGAAAAAAGAAAGAAAGAAAGAAAAAGAAAGAAAGAAAAAGGAAACGTAAGAAAGTGCGAAAAAAAGAAAAATGAAGATAAAAAAAACTGAAAGAAAGGCGAAAACGACAAAAGAAAATACAATGAAAAACAGAAAGAAGGAAAGTGAAAGAAAGAAAATCCTATCGCCACCGCCCTTACTTACTGCGCATGCGCCAGTGAAAAAGGACCGATTATGAAAATCGGATTTTTATCATCGATTTATTTATCCCATTTTT